ACAGACAGCCTCTTCCCAATATGCGTTTTTGCAATTTACATATATGCAAAAACGCATAAAAAACATTTGCAAATCTGAATTTGTCACGAAAACAAGTTGGGACAGTAAAAAAACAGAGCGCCAGAACACGAACTGTTTTGATGGACTGAATCAATGCGTCAGTAGGACGGCCGCGCAGCGATATCACAGATATTTCACTTCTGTAATCATCCACTGACAAAGGCGCAGCCTTAAGCTTATAAAAGACCACTCGAGTCAATTCCGCGTGATCGTTTCTTATTTCATTTGTGATGTCGATCGTATTTCTCTGAAAAACACTGCAGAACTGGCATAAATGAGTACGAAACAGAGGCTGCTTTCGATGACAACCAGCGCCTGACACGAGAGTAATTTAGAAACGCGATAAGATTTACAGAATGTATTCTTTCTCAAGTTTTTGGTATCCACTAAGAACTGGGAAAATGTAGTTGCTTTTAAAGGCAGAAAAATTAAGCTTCAATTTTGTTATCGAGGCATAGCTAAGCCTATGCATGCAATGCTACGTGTACTGTTTCACGTTGCTTTTACTGGAGCGTCTACTAAAACAATCGGTACTGGTGTATGTCAGGGAGTCAAACTCGCTACCAGCTTACCTTTAACTCCCGAAAGAAAGAGCCGAGTGTTTGCCCATGGTAACCTTGCTACCATTCGCGTTAAATCCTGAATTGCTCTGGCTTTACAAAGAAAGTGCGTAGTGTGGGCCTCTTAACTTAAAATGCTTACCGTTTCATGCTTGGCGATAATCAGCAGTGCGGTGTTTGTATCGCAAAAATCATGTATAGAATTCAAATTCTGGATTTTGTTTTCGGCAATGTTTAGTGCAAAAATATGAGAAGCGACACGCAGGATGTAGTGACACCGTGGATCACTACGTTCCGTTTCTGTTTTTGGCATTTTCTTTCGTCTCACATGATTCTATCTTCTTCCAGAACAATGATTTCGGCTGCTGCGCTTATGACTGAAAGACTGCCCGGTGAAATCAGTGATGTTCCATTTGTTCAAAGTGCTCCTCTTCAATCCTTGAGTAATCAAATTCGATCAGATGAAAGCTTGAAAATACGATTATAAACACTGCTCCGACTGGTCAACGTAGAATTTATTTGTAAACCAGTATATGAAATACACCAGTAACTGATTCAGCAATTTGTTAATAGTAATAAGGGCGAAACTGAGAATTAGAAACAGATCCCTACAAAAGCAGTAGCAGGAAAAATAAAAATTTAGGACGCGATGTCGTACGCTGCGACTATGATACGCCTAGAGAAGGAGGTGGTAAGGTCGTCCAAGTGGTTCCACAGGTCAGGATAGAAAGAGCAGGAACTGATTTTATTACTGCCACTAGTGCAGTGCTAAAAAGATTAAGCTGCTGAAAAAAGAAAAAAAAAACCTTATAGTGGCCTACGTATTCAGCAAGAAAAAAGTCCACACAGACATAAACACACGCACACACACACACACACGTAAGTTCGAACGTACGGGCACAAACACGACACGCACGCACGCATATCACCTAACACAGGTATGCACCCATAGACACACACGGACTGGACAGAGCGCGCTTCTGGTTCTGCGATAAAGCATAAAAAATGAAATAAAATCAGAAGTGTTTCTGAGCAAGAAGTATCATTTAGGTCGCAGCAAGTGCTTTTATTTTTTGTGAAAAACAACCACAGACAGTCTCCTCAATTTCAGGCTCCTTAGTTGTCTCCAAATAAGTCTGGAACTTTGCACCAAGCTATAAAGACCATTCGATAAAAGTGAATTTGGTCCAAAACAGCCATACTGCATCAGAATGAAAGCTGCAGGTAAAAGGGACCAGCCTGAATTAGCCAGTGCTCTTTTTACGCGCTGCTGTCAGTCCCAGCTACCGCATCGTTGCCATGGCATTCATTACTCGTCTGGGATCTATAAAAGAGAGGGGGAAAGGAAAACAGCAGCTGGAACTGATGCAGGCACAGCCAGAGGCAGACCTGGATGAGGGACAAATTTTAAACCACGAATGTAGTAAAAGTGAGATTTCTATAAAGTTGTCTTAGTGTAAATTGAATCAGTCCAGGTTGCAACACATCAGACTTGTCAGTGCGGGCATTCATTTTTGCGTTAAACTTGAAGCAGTCAGGTCGTTAACTGCATATTTGCTTATTGCTTTACATTTGTCTTGGCCACTCATTGTCATAAATCACCGTAAATTTTGCATAAAGGAAAATGAATAATTTCTATCGAGTGATCGTTCATTGAAAATTACCTGGCTGTTCTGGTTCCCGAATTATCAGTTTCTGCAAACCCTCACCACCACCTCAATGTTCCTGGATGAGTGCATGTCCATGTTCAGCCGTATGTGCTAGTGCGGTGCGTGGATGTACGTACGTTACGTAAATGCATACGTGTGTGTAACAACACAGCGTTTTTTGGCTTGCAGCTTCTGCACGAAAACTCATTGCTTATTGTCCTTAAGTTTTTTTTTTTTTTTTTTCAGTGCGCCAAATCAATAGTGGGCATTTCAATCCTAACTTTTCCGGAGGGACACACAGACATACAAACACACACAGCTTTTCTGTGTGCGTGTGTGTGTGTGTTTAACGAAAGACGATGAAATGCTGTGTGTGTGCATTGTGCCGGAGAAGCAGCACATGGGCAGTTCCACATCGTGTGTATTTCAGTTACATTTCGGGTTGGTCGTTGTCCAGGACTGTCTCTGGATTGTGGTCCAAACTAGCTGCAGCCTGCTGCTGCTGCTAGCCGCAATCCGGTTCAGGAGTGGCACTCGGCCATTCTCGCTTTCACTACTGACCAAATGACTCTCAGCGCAGCAGTTGCTAATCACTGCTCGTGAGTGTCGCTGTTTTTCCGGAATTGAATCGCGTCAGCTAATGGCACATCGCTTCCATGTAGCAGCAGCATCACTGTTTCTCGTTGTTGCTGTTCACGCTACCATCGATTTTGGCCCGTCTTTTCAGGACAACTGCGCCGATCACAGCAACAAGGTAACTCAAACTGCTTCTCCTATAGCACTCTGACAGCACAATTGTTTTAGGTAAAAATACCCAGCACAACTGTTTACCGCACTGTCTTCCACTACCGTATTTAACAGACTGTTGTCCGAGAGTACCGTTAATGTTGCTTATTTCTTGAAATTCCCGAAACAAGTAGTTTCACTGGCATACTGATCTGCTAGCTGTAGACAGAGTGTTTGACCAGTGCTGGATAACTCCTGTCCTGAACAGCAATCATTCTGAAAAAAAAAAAAATCCCATCTATTTTACGTATCACTACCAAATTTTTACCGTTTTTTTTTATCAGTTTTTTTTTTTACTTCTTGCACTTTAGCACTCCACAACTAGTTTTTACGCCCGGTTGGCCAAAGTTTTTTTTTTTGCATTTTAATTAAAACACATAGTTTGAAATCTGTAACAACTGATCATGCATATTTTCAGGATATCATATGCACAGTTCGCGCCGGTAAGTCCATTCTTGTTGCAGTTGCAAATTTTAGTGCATTTTATGCAGTAGGCATTCTGCTGACCACAATCTTTCATTTGATAGATATAGGAAAATACCATTATTAGATTATGGTACCAAAAAACATGGAGGCTGGGTGCGTAGAAATTAGCCGCATTTAAGTGCACGTATGAACACAGTAGTTCATAAAGCTGGAAAAAACCGCAGTGTAACTGAATTTCGGCTAGTGGTACTCCTAGAGCAGATGATTCTCAATTTCAAAGTGTGAGGCCAAAAAGACATATAATGTTGGCTGTAGAAATTCCGACTGGTTCTCCAAATTAGTTTGCTGCCTATGCTTCGTCAGCGAACAAGCTACTCAAGTGTGAGCCTCAGCCATGCAGAATTTGGTCTTGTGAATGCGTTTCAAATAACAAGCGATTTTAACAAAACTTGTGGATTAAACTGGGAGCATTATTATCGAAAAAAAAAAATGGAATTTAGCACCTCGGTATTGGAAGGCGCGTTACCCTAGAAGGCCAAAATTGACGAAGAAAGGGCAGCCCATGTGAAAAATGATTGCTCCAAACAGTGTAATTATTTCATTTTGAGTGTTCAGGTGAAGTTTTTGCAGAATTTTATTTCGATTTCTTATCGTGGCAGGGCGCACTGACTTCAAGCCTCTCTAGCGGAAAACCCGGAATTTTGAGCAAAGTGTGCCAGTGCTGATGCACACACACTCACTCTGCTCCGTACGTGTTCCTAATGAAAATTCTGGGAGAATGAAGGGATATGAAGATGGATACTCAAAAGGGAAATCCTTCCCAAGCTGTGTGATTTCTGAATAACTAAAAATATTATTCTAGTGGAATGTAGCGATGAAAGTGCGCATATCGATAGCAATGTTTCGGATTTGTCGAACGATACAGCAGTTGCATTTGCGCATGATATCCGGGTGGAGCCGTATGCTCGTGCGGTCACTCGTTCAGCCAAGCAAAGCTATCAGCTTTCAGTTGACATATCATGGCAAATGCCTCCGAATAGTTCGTTACCTATCGTTTTCTTCAGTTGCTCATCTTGCTGTCCAGTTTTTTAAAGGGATGCACAGGGGAAATATCTGGAGGCTTCATCGAATTTGTGTTTGCAATTCAACAATACCAGCATGGGCTGGGGGCATCGTGCATCCAGAGAGATGCTTTTTAATAGCCATGAGCACTTGGCACTCATTTCTGCTTGCAGATGCCGCGGCACTGATCGCAGCATTTGTGCTGGAGATCGAAGACGCCGCAACGAATAATCGCTCCTGCTTCTACTTCGACATCTCGAATTCGCACTGGAACAACCATCTTGTTGCTGCCGCTGTTTGTTTTTCAAATTTATCACCCCCTCCCTCTCTTCCTAAATTTGATCCCGATATCAGCAAGCTTATATATGCACGCTTTATGCAAAGTCAAGCGCCATGACCTTGTGTTAAGACTGGCAGCCTTCTGTCCTAGCTCTTATTGAATGCTTTCGCGCACATCCACGATTTAAGAGTCTCTAGCAAGGTTCAGTGATAATACGCTCATGATATTTTTCAAAAGTACTGTTTTCAGCCACGGTTTCATTTCACATCGGAAAGTTTGTTCGAATTTGATGAAATCTATGACATCAGGCTGATCAGTGTGCTGGGAAAAAAGAACCAAACAACAGTTCTACCGAAGCGTGTTCGTATGCCACAGCATCCTGGTAGTTCTTGATATACTAAATAAGATCGAGGGAAGGATGTGGGAACTGTCAACTTCTCTAAAACTCACTCATTCGTTTCGTTTGCAATTAGTACTATGCCCAGGTGGGTCAAACACGCCATCAGCTTGCTTGTAAGCAACCCTCGAATGAGGCAGTCACCGAAAACTTTGCCAGCAGGTAATTGCTGTTGGGATTTGCTACTTTCGGAATATTTACTAGTGCCTTCGCCTTTCATAAAGAGCGAATATGGAGCGACTTGACTGGTCGCTTCAAAACTGTTTCTGTTAACACTATCTGAAATTGCAAAGATACTCTATAATGAAACTATAGCAGAAAAAACTGTCGAGATAGAGGTATATCTGTTGCAGTTTACTTCAGTTTCGAGCATCACCTTCGTTTTCGGTATGGTTATTATCGAAACTCTCCAAGTTAATACTGTTATTTCGGGAGAAGCCTTGGCAGTGAAAACTCTGCCAACTCCTGATCTCTATGAGGAACGGAGGTACTCTGGAATTAGTCATTGAGTGATAGCAGACACTAACTGCAGCCGCCTTCTACCAAGGCTGTTGAGTTGCCACCTCTTTTAAGGGTTGCTTATAAGCAAGCTAATATATTTCAGTACCAATTTACAACCGGAATGAATAAACGAACTGTAAAAGAGATCAGTTGCCTCAGTAACCGAATCGAACCCTCGACTTTCAAAAGCCGGGCAGTGCTACTTGACACTGCGCTGTGCCTGCTAACAAGTCACATCTTTGAGAAAAAAAGCGAGCAGACCTGAACTTAACATCTGATATTGTTTTCAGATTATTACAACAACACGACAATGGAGTACGACTGCAAGCGAGCCTGTATGCTTCAGTTGCTTATTTTAGATTTTGATTAGAAATTTCTGAAGAAAATGCAGTTGTACTTTTTGCTGAAATAATTGAGTGAAGAGGCAAAACCGCCGCGCTGTAAACCACAGATTCGCTGTTGGTCTTTTGCTGAGCAGTCCGAGGAAAATTTCATTTCTCTTATTCAAAAGAAACTGTGATTGGGGGGAGGAGGGGAGGGGGCAGGAGGGGTGCATTGTGTGCTATTTTTGCCAAAAATAATGCAGCAATTTGTTAGCAAATCCGCAAGCTTCTCGATGGACAGGTGGATTTCGGCGCATTTTGGTACATCCAGTAGCACGAACAATACAACTAGAGTTTGTGGGTGCGCCGTTACATTACTGTTTCGAAGGATACGAAGTACGACTGAAGGATGAAAGTGGTCTTGGACTGCTGCACAGCGCCATCGTTCCCGTGGAATCGATGCATGTGGAGCACATTGACAATCAGACTTTTCTGTTTGGAGAACATAATTTCACTGATCTCGAGGTACCACTTGCTGTTTGGCCTATAAAAGCTCGAAGTTCTTCTGAAACTGGGGCGAGCTTGTTCACACTCCATCCACTCGCTGGCATGTGTTTTACTGTACCTCATCCTCTTAATCTCTGTACTGAAGAACTTCCCACCACATCGAGAACCTTATCTTTTTAAATATTTCCTCTCATACTGCGCTGATCCAGTCCAGTTTTTTCATAAACTGAAATTTTCTTGCCGATCTCTTAAAATGTCAGTCTTTTTTTTTCTAAAATATGCCATAATTTTGTGAGCTGGCCCAGTTGGTAAGTTCATGGAGTTTTCATATAATTTCGTTGGTCAAATGAAGAGTCGTCTCATAAACGATTTTTATTCGAGTTAGTTCAGGTAGATTTATATTTCATACCGTCTGTTATACCAGTGGAGCGTTCCCGAGATGGCCGATGCTTATGTCCTGTATCCGGAAGTAATCCTTTCGACAGTCGTGTAGTGTGCTCCTGTATTGCTGCTGATTGGAATAAAATCCGCATTCAAAGTGAGACTTAATTATGTCAGTAAAAAATGCCAACTTTTGCTGGACGTTCGCATACATCCCAGTGACATTGGATCTCCATGCTGAGAATCTCGAGTGGTTCTGGTAGCCCTAGTTAAAGTACTGGAAGTTCAATAAACAATAATCAGATTAATTCTTTTCTGCGCAACTTGTGAATCTGGCTACAAAATTCCTTTTCCATGATTTTTCTCATCATATTATATCAAAACAGTGATTTATTGTGTTATGCTGTATTTTCTGATTTGGAAATCAAATGTCTTAAAACTATACTTTCAGGAATGGAGAAGCTAAGCACTCTGTTTTCGGGACTGGATAAAAATGATACGCTAGTTCTGTATGTGGAAGAGTCGGGCACTGGTTACATTTGGTAAGATTTAACTTACTTTTCAAGGAATTCGGTTTTTTACAAGTTTGTCAAGCCAAAAAAGTTACCAGTAGCCCCATTGGCTGTCTCGTGCTAACCACTACATCATCGGCTCCTATGCTTAATGAGCATATTTCAGCTTATATCAACTACTTCTGTGAAATCATCCCATATTACAATTAATACAACTGATTAACCTGGGCCGCCTTGGTATTTTTTCATTGCATGTCGCGTTCCACGGGACTTTCGCATAGATTCTGTGATGGATTTAAAAAAAAAAAACTGTCTTTTCAAATTATGCGGAGAAACGTGGTCAGAAAATGCACTCTCCTGCTTTATTTGACAGTTACAGAGCGATCATGCGCCCCATAACTTGTACTTCCAAAACTGAGCGTGAATTTTGCAGGACGATATTGCTGGCAGTTGTACTTCTCGGTGTAGCTGTGCTCGTATTTTTCCTACTTTACGTTGCTTATCTGTACTATGTTCGTTGCCGAATTTCCGCGAAGACAGTTAGAATTCGATTTGTTTCGGATCGGCCACCCTCATCTACTTTAACAACTTCATCGAGCAGCCAGGCACCCCTAATAAAGACTGGTATGTTTTAACGTGTCGGAAGAGCTGTCAGAAACTCCTTGTTTTTCCTGATTTCATTCATGAAGCATCCGAAACGAATTAGCATAACGTGGTAATATGCTTCGCATGACAGATGCAATCAAATGTCCACCGCGCAACCTGTCTATATTTTTTTGCATATTTGCCAAAACCCCCAAGGTATGTGTGTATGTGTGTGTGTGTGTGTGTGTGTGTGTGTGTGTGTGCTCGGCTATTTCAACTCGGCAGCCAATAATTGCTGACGCTGAAATTTTGCCAGTAGGTCACTTGGCTAACCCCCAGTCCAGGAACGTGGCACCAACTTTGGCGCGCGTCTGAGTTCCAGGTACGGGCATGTGAAAGTTTTGAAGAGAAAATTGTTAACGCGGGAAGTAGAAAAGCCGGAAAGCTGAAATTTCAAGGAGATATTCCCTGTTCGCATACAACCTAAAGATTCAAATTCAGCTCGTAGTAACGCGTAGTTCTCGTGTTCGAAAAAGTGAAAATTTTGGCAGGATAGTTGCTAGCTCGGCAGTCAGGTAAGCTAAGAAGCTGAAATTTGGGGAGGTGTTTTCTGTTAACGTGCGACCTGAAGATTACAGATTCAGTTCCCCAGGTGCTCGTGGTTTTCACTTATGGACATGTGAAAGTTTTGGCGGGGAAATTCCTAAACCAAATCAGCTAGGTCCTTTTCAATGAACGATTGGTCAATGAAAATTTGTTATTTTCCTTTGTGGAAAATTTACAGTGATTTACGGTAGTGAGTGCACAAGTTAAATGTAAAGCAACAACTATTCACAGAACTGACGACTTGATTGCTTCAAGTTTAGCGTAAAAACGCATGATCGCACCACCAAGGCTAGTACTTTGCAATGATATGGACGGTAGGCATGATCGATGGAACGGAAATGCGGTCCCAAATCCCTGTCCCATGTGCTTCACAATGTATTTTCGAGTTTCGAAATCAGAAACAAAAATTTTACTGAAATTTGTTACTGTTCAGGCCGACGTAACGTGCTGCTGATTTATTCACATGACAGTGTGTTGCATGAGAAGTGTGTCATTGCATTTGCTGAATATCTACGGGACGTTTTTGGCCTTGATGTTCATGTAAGTCTTTTGGTCAAAATTTCACATGCAAGTCTTACAGTCATCTGGGAAATTTTTGGATTTCATCATCTTCTGTAATTGATGAATGTGTATGAGCTTATCTGCCTTGACAGCTCAGTCAGTTTTTAGCTTGATATTTGGGATGTTGCTGAAATTGAATGCAACATTGTGGGTTATGTAAGTGGATCGATTCTGAATGCTGATAAAGTGATTGTTATCAATTCTCAAGGGGCTTACTATCACTATCGCTGTAAAGTGGGACGAGAATATCGTGTCGAACGGAGGGATCGAAAACCGCTCGACGATCTTTTTGACAAACAGATCGACCAGGTGTTAGGGTATGTTAATTGATTTTTACCATCAGCTTGCTTGTAAGCAATTCTCGAACAAGAGCGCCGCTCATAGCCTGCTAGTGGGTGGTTGCTACCGACCGTTGCTAACCTCGGAATGCTTTCAATTGCCTTCGCGTTTCAAAGAGAGGGGGTTTTAACTTTCTGGTTTAGACGAATCAGTTGATAGAACTGTAGTTTGGAGTTCTGAAACGCAACTAACTTTGCTGTTTACATCTTGTGAAATAAGGCGCTTGAAAAAAAAAATACTGCAGCAGTTTTCTGGCGGCAAGTTTATAAAATCTTGGTGACGTCAGGGTAAAGCTGTTGGTCTTTAACTGTTACTTGCAGAAGACAACTACAGTTGAAACCTTCCTCCGTACTGGGCTTGGTTTTTGCCGGCCAGGCAGATTGCTGGAGAGATTTCAACAGACAGATTATGTAATCTGTTTACAAAAACCACTCAAAATTCAGTACATCGGCTCTATGTTACGCCAGAGCAGTGAAACTGTACTTTGGCAGTGTCTTCGAAAATTTGAATTTTTTGCTTCAACTCGCCCGTCACTCAACATTCTGGATTGTTTGAGGTAAATCTCGTGGAACCTGTGCAAGTTATAGTTCGTGATTAATTTAACTTTTTTTCTACAATTTAGGCATTCGACGGCGATATCGGCACGCTTCAAGTACAGCTCTCACTCGTTTCTTTTGCCGCCTCTAAGCTATTCGCTGCAGTATGTCATCCCGGACAATACTGCCGCACTTCTCTCAAATTTAACAGATTCGAGTATCAGGGGCGATCCACGAATTAGCTCACACAATCCAGCTTATGCGAAGCTAGTAGCAGCTGTGGCAGAAGCATCGAAAGCGCAAGAAAGCAATCCAGGTTGGTTCGAAAGCAGTCATCGGCGCGTACTTATCTCCCCAGCCAGCAATAAACAGCAAGGACAGGTTATCGAGGACGATGAGATTGATAGGCCGTCCGTTGACACGAGGACAGCTGAGGAATCCGAAAGCTGTGACATGAGCGTGTTTCAAATTGCCAAACAGGCAGCAATGTTTAACAATTCGTCCGAAGAGTTTGAATTAATTGACGCGGAACGAGGCGGCGTAACAATTACGACAGAGCGCTCGGGAGCGAGATCGGATGCAGTAAGCTCTCCGGAAAAGCGGAACTCAGCGGAATTGCAAAATTGTGGCAGTGAAGAGGATGAGATCGTGTCTTGTAGGCCCAGTGAAGTGGGCATCGAGGAGCGCATCAGCAGTTCTGGGAAGCTGGCGGCATCAGCTGCTGCTGCTACTGAGCACGATTCGGGTTTCATCTCCGAAAAAGATTTTGTCTATACTTAATGCGCTGTTACAGTAGTGTTGCTATTAGCAGTTTTCTGTAATCTCCAGGGACCACCATACAGTGCTTGAGTGCATCAATCCTTTGTTTATGCATTGCTCATGTGATCAAGTACCTCAAGAGTCTGCGTATTCCCGCACTCTGCTTATATATGCATTTAAGAGAGACTTTTACTGCTGCTGCTGCTGCTGACTGAAGAAGGCACTCCTCCGCGTCGCCGCTTATCTGGCTATCCTCCTTTGTGCTTCTTGCTCGTCGTTCTTCGCTGCATAAGTTTTTTTTTTTCAAATCGTTATTTTATGCAAATTTTGTTGTTATTTCATGCCAAATGATCTCTGTTTCTCTCCCTCTCTCCCACTGTGTACATAGGTTCCGTTACATTTGTTCGTTCATTTAATACTTCAATGGTACTTTTGCTCAATGCATGCGCGCCAATCTCTCCTCCTCCACGTACTGTTGCTGCTGCGGCCGCTCCGTTTGGAATGCTATTTTATCGCCTAGAGCAGGTGCAAAAAATTTGGCACATGCTAAAAGATGCATGCAGAATGGACAGCAACAGAAGGGGCACTACATCATAAGTACGTTCAAAAACACAAAGGTCTGCTACAAACGAAGCAGCGGAACAGCAACAATTTGGCATTCTCTTGCCCGGATTGTTACCGGATTCTGTTGTGAGCAATTCAGCAGCCAGTTCCTGATGGACTGTTCGACAGAGATGAACTCATCGTCTTAATCAAATTTTGTAAATCTGCTGCAGCAATTCTTCTAATTTAGGCCAATACAGCATTTGAGATAGTTTTGAGCAAACTTTCCACAAAATTGTACAGGGCGCTAGGGATTTGAATAAAGTCATGGATTTTTATTCATATTCGCATAGAAACACTACCGCCTGAAAATAAAAACGCACATTTTTAATCACTGATGTCGCAGAACAAAACGCATGATAATGTACCCAGATTTCGGAAACTGCCATTTTATACTGTTCCGACAAATGCGCAACTACGCGCGCTTTGGCCTCAGCACGAAAACTTGCAGCCGTTGCCAGCTGCGTAGCTATTCAACCAATCGCTCAGCTATTCACTTTCACGGATCCCTGGATTTCTCTTGAGGAGCTAATTCAGTTATAAAAGCCTTTCAGTTTTCGAATGGGCCGGCTTGTTCACTTCCCGTATGCAAAAATTACGATCATTTACAGTAGCAGGAAGCAGCAATCATTCATGCAGTTAACGACTTGTGTGCTTCAAGTCCGGTGCAAAAACGCATGATTCTGGCCTGGATTTTCACTAAACACGAGGCATGCCTGATCGGTGCCAACCAGATTTCAATAATTATTGAATGCACAGCTACCAATGTATATGGCCATCTGTAAGGCACAAAAGCGCATTTGTTATGGCGATAGCCAGTGGCGCACAATGAACTCAGAATATTATTATCAGTTGCATAGTAATTCCCCAAACGTCTTGACAGCTCCATGAAAAAGATCACTGACCTGAAAAATTTTTTTGTGTATAGACTGGAATCTTTAGCTGGAATGTAAAAAAGTGTAAAAAATGTAAAATTTTTAGAAATTTCTAGAATGTAAAGATGTAAAAACAAGTAGAGCTAGTAAGCCATAGTAGTTGCTATAATGCTTATGTTAACTTTCGAAAAAAAAAGCGTTTCATTTTATTGCTGTTTCCCTTTTTGATATTTTTTTGGTTTAGTAGGTGACGCAGTTCTTACCAAAAAAATGCTGATTCGTAATTCTTTTGCCTTTCCTGAAATTTCTGCGAAGTGTCCAACTTGCCCCAGCAAAGCATACAATCTTTGTAATTGCATCATTACAGAATTCCATTACTAAAATATCACATAATTTAACAAAAATATGAAGCTGTTTTTTCGCCTCGCTATAATTTTCCAAAGTATTAGCTTTTTCTGCAAGAAATCCCCGTCAAGATATCAGTAGTGGCTCTCGGGCAAACCTTCACTCTCATGTGCAACTGTATTCTGAACGAGCGAATCAAGCAGTTTTGCATTCATCTTCGCAAATCACCGCAAATTTTGTACAAAATAAAATGACAAATTTCCGCTAACTGGTTGTTTATCAATAATAGCATGGCTGCTCTAGTTCTAGTTGGCAATTTTCCCACCGAAAATTTAGTGTATCCGCAAATGAAAACCGGACTTGGGAACTGAATTTGAAATCTTTAGACCACTCATGGACAAAGAACATATTCCCCTAATTCCAGCTTGGCAGTACAGCAAGAGGCATACAAGGATTCCCTCGTGAATGATCTCCAGAAATCGAGCATACATCCCTCGTGTTCCAAAGTTATAAGATCAGCCCGAAACGGGTCTGAAGTGGTTGTGAAGACTCTCTTCACGTTTGTTTTACGGGGCCGTACGTGTCACCCGCTGGTACAGGAAGGCTGACTTTAAATTTGCCGCGTCACACGTTGGCGGAGAACACTATACCGAAATTACAGCCGCCCGGCTTTTGTGGTTCCCGAGTTGAAAGTGCGGGACAAAATGTGGGGCACACACACGCAAAACAACCCCGTGCCAATATGCGTTTTGTACTGCTGTTACACAGCACAAAACGCATAAAAAACGTGCGCCATATGGCTACTTATGCCCAGCCGTTGATTCAGCAGAAGCTGATTTGGCCCATTTTTGTAAACAGAGAAGCATGATGCCCCAACTCCGTGACATTTTTGTCCAGCTCTTCGCCTTCCAGTTTTTTATGCGCCGCAATCTACTCGGGAAAAGTGGCATTTTCAAAAAAGTAAAACCCATTCCAATACTGCTTTGTTGGCTCCCCGCTGCCGCATTTCATATGACTTGTGCTAGTTTGAAATTCACAGGCTGTGTCCTGTGAAATAGCTACAGAAGTGACAGTCACAAAATAGAAAACGCATCTCCGCATTACTAAAGTCAACCCTCCGAGAGCAAAAAAGAGAAAAAAAGGAAACTTAACTTGTCACTGCCCTCTCAATTATTATTCACTGAAACGAGGACTGCTGCGGCATGTGCTTCAAGTTTCAATAAATCACAAAATTCCGCTCTTTGTAAAAATTTCAATTTTATTTATTAGCATCTAAAGAGGATTTTGCGAGGAACTAGTTTACAACAAGCATTGAAAGCGCTCGTATCACTGAAAAGAGAAAAAATAGATGCAAAACCAAAAAAAAAAAAAGAATACTATCCAAGAAGGACGAAGAAATGTGCACAGACCGAGCTGTAATGATAAAGATCGATGAGCCGGTGTTTTTCATTCGGGAATGAAATCAGCCGATTTTAACAAATTTGCAGAGCGGGAAGGAATCTCCAACTTTTAGAAATGCACTCGGAGAAGCTTAGCGATGAAATACCAGCATTTTACAACAGATACAATCATCACATACGAATTATGCAACATTACAAATGGCATAAACAAGGTCGCTTAGAGTACACAGACACACATACATACACTTTCACGTAAAGGAAGGAAGATGCTATACAAGGATCATCTGAGACGGTTATACACGCCGATGAAGCACTTTAGATACACGGGGTTCACGATAAACGCAATGCTCTCCAAATGGGCCATGGATGGAAGCAAATGGAAGCAGCAAAGCACTGTGCATTTGATGTTTAAAATGCTGTTTTTGGTTCAGCCAACCGAAAAACAAAAAAATATCAAATTGAGAAATAAAAAGGAAGGACGATAACGAACCAA